GCAGGTTAATGGGGAGCTACAGCCCCCCTGCCCCCCGTAACTGCCCAGCTCTGTGCTTTCCGCAGGGCCTCTGGATGGAGGCTTCGCCTTTGACTTGTGGGATGGTGAGAACCTGTCTCCTGGGCACTTCTTCCTCATCAGGGCCCAGAGAGAGCCCCTCATCAGCCTGGCCAAGAAGCAGAGCCTCACCGTCTGCCCAGGTGGGTGCGGGCACATTCCCCATCCTCCCAGTTCAATGGCAAACAGGGCCCTTGGACCTTTCCAGCACCCCCTGCCCGAGCGCTGCCGAGAGATGCCTGTGGCAGAGGCTGCAGGTGGGTGGCGAGGCGGTGGGTTGAAATCCATACTGGATGTGTTTTCCAGGTGCCCTGCAGCCCATCACCAGCCAGAACCTGCAGGCAGTGAGCAACACCCCTGCCAGCTCCACCGCTCTGTACTACAGCATCGAGCAAGCCCCACGCCTGGGCAGGCTGAGCACCTCCCGTGGGGATGAAATCAGGAACTTCACCCAAGCCCAGGTGAGCTTTTGCCTCCCCCAGCCCCCCCAGGATCCCAAGGCACAGCCCTCCATCACCCCCCACTGCAGCCCAGGGGTCCCACCCTGACCCCACTGCCACCGTGGGTAGAGGCACCCGATCCCTGGCAGGAGGCAGAGCAAGGCTGTAGCCACGTCGTGACTTTCCCAGCTCTGCCAACGGCTGCTAAGAGGCATTAAGAGCTGCTGTCCCAGCACCGGCTTTGCCACAGCCACCAGCCTTGGATTTAGAGCTGGGGGAGGCTCGGGGAGTTATAATTCCCTTTTCCTAGGCTACCTCCCTGCCGCAGACCCAGCCATCCTGGCTGCTGCCCAAGGCAAGAGCCAAGCGCAATACTTTCACCCCTGCTCTGAGCAAAGCCTTGCTACTACCCTTCTCCCACAAGGCCAGGCTTTTGCAGAGCATGGCAAAGGGCTTATTTCTAACCATCACGCAGAAGCACTCACATTTGCCCACCCTGCAAGCTCCCCCGTGCTGTGCTCACCCTTGGATGAAGCCTGGCCCAACTCTTGGAGGATGCTGAATAAGCTCAGCCCTTCCTCTGAGCCTCAGTTTCCCCAATTGCTGGACAGAAACATCCTGGCAGAGAGGCACCATGACCTCTCGATGGTGACCACCATGCCATGGCTGGTGATGATCCCCATTTCTTATCTAAGTAAGCCTTGGCTGCTCCTTCCCGGAGCCAAGATAAGAGCCCAGGGTGCACACATTGGCTCTAGCACATCACCACCAGGGTACCCTCCTGGTGCCCAGTGTTTCACCAGAGACGAAACAGATGCACCCATTTCCCACATGGTATCACCCACTCTAAGTATTTATTTTACCACTTAGCAGGGCTCATTGAGTTTGTTCGGGTTGTTTTTGGTTTTTTTTAGGTGGACAGCGGGTTGATTTTCTACCAGCACCAGATGCCAGAGAAGCCCTTCTGGCTGGCCCAAGACGCCATCCGCTTCCGCGTGGTTGCTCCCACGACCATCTCTGATTCCTTCATCCTCCTCGTGCTGATCTCCTTCGAGGCAAGGTGTCTCCAGCGCTCCACTCAGCTATGGAGAAATGCAGGTAAAGGAGGAAAGGAGAAGCTGGGGAGAAGCAAGGGACAAACAAACCCTCCTGAAGTCTGCACAATCCCCCCGTTCGGGGGGCGGATTCTTCAGGAGAGCTTGTTTGGCTGAAGAAGACACCACTGTGCAATTTCCCATGGCCACCCAAGCATGAGCTTTGATATTATGTCAAGCAACATCTAAAACTGCATCCATCCCTATACTGCCTCTCTGCGCGGTTCCTTCCTCCATCATCGTACCAAACTAATAAGTCCCAGTTGATTCTCAGCCCTCTCCGTTTCTTTGTAATCCCCCTTTTTCTGCTACAACTTGCTCTTGTCTGGGGCTGCTCTCCTCTCCAGCAGACCCGGCTCTTCCCAGGGATGACAGACCTTTGCGTTTCCCCTTTTCTCCTCAGGTCTCCAGCTCGCAAGGTCTCAACAGGCTGAAATTGGCACCTCGGTAGTAGACGCCTCTAACCTCTTGAGTCAAATCCTGGTCCCCGAGAGGGCTGCGTACGATGTTGTCTTCCTAGTGACGGAGCTACCGGCTCATGGGCAGCTCTTGGTGGCCGGTGTGCCCCTGGAGCGGTCACGGCCGTTCTTCCTGCAGTCAGACCTGGCTGCGGGGCGCCTGGCATATGCCCATGGAGGGGACAGCGTCTCTGAAGACCATTTCAGATTTAAGGCTTGGCTCCGGCCCCAGGCACAGCAGTCCATCCGTCCTCCACAGGAAGGGGTGGTCATCTCCGAAGCTTTCAATATAACAGTAACCAGCAGCAGCAAGCCACCGCAGGTGTTGAAGCGGCAAGAAGTCCTGCGGGTCCCACCAGGCTCCGTGGTGACCTTGTCTCAGGAGTACCTGGATGTGGCAGACCCATCAGGGTCCCCAGAGGAGATGGTGTACAGCATCCTCCAGAGACCTCTTGCTGGCCACTTGGCCAATGCACACAACCCACGAGAGCCCATCAACCGCTTCACCCAAGCGGATGTTAACGCAGGCCACGTGGTGTTTGTTGCCACCGGGAGCCATGCCCCAGGGTCCTTAGCCCTGAGTCTCTCCGATGGCCACTACCCACCCACCCTGACCTCACTGGAGATCGAGGTGCTGCCTGCAGTGAGCACCACTGCCAGCCCGGTGCCACTGGAGGTGCCCCAAGACCTGAACAGGGCCCCCGTGTCCCACCATCACCTCCTGGGAGCCACGCAGCTGGGGGCAGGCAATGCCCTGTACAGGATCACCAGGCACCCAAGGTTTGGCCAAGTGCAGGTCAACCAAAAGCCATCACGGGGCTTCTCGCAGAAGCAGCTGGATCGTGGGGAGGTGACATTCACCTTCACCGACCTCACCTCTCCTGAGGATGACTTCCAGTTCCTTGCCATGTCGCAGGCAGCAAACAGGACCGGGGTGGTGAACGTGACCGTCCGCGCCTTGGTGAAGGCTCGGCCAGGCAG